TGCATTAAGGTAAAAAACATTTTTACGTTGCCTATGCTCCCCCTTCCCTGTGTGAAGAGGAAGGAAGGGGAGAAGAGATCAGTGCTCTGCATGGCTGCATCTCCTCTCCCCTCGCTTTCCTCTTCCCGGCTGCATCTCCTCTCCCCTCGCTTTCCTCTTCCCGGCTGCATCTCCTCTCCCCTCGCTTTCCTCTTCCCGGCTGCATCTCCTCTCCCCTCGCTTTCCTCTTCCCGGCTGCATCTCCTCTCCCCTCGCTTTGCTCTTCCCGGCTGCATCTCCTCTCCCCTCGCTTTCCTCTTCCCGGCTGCATCTCCTCTCCCCTCGCTTTCCTCTTCCCGGCTGCATCTCCTCTCCCCCTCGCTTTCCTCTTCCCGGCTGCATCTCCTCTCCCCTCGCTTTCCTCTTCCCGGCTGCATCTCCTCTCCCCTTGCTTTCCTCTCCCCTTGCTTTCCTCTTCCCGGCTGCATCTCCTCTCCCCTCGCTTTCCTCTTCCCGGCTGCATCTCCTCTCCCTTCGCTTTCCTCTTCCCGGCTGCATCTCCTCTCCCTTCGCTTTCCTCTTCCCCTCTGCTGCTTCCTCTCCTCTCCCTTTCGCTTTCCTCTCCCTTCGCTTTCCTCTCCCTTCGCTTTCCTCTCCCTTCGCTTTCCTCTCCCTTCGCTTTCCTCTTCCCGGCTGCATCTCCTCTCCCCGGCTGCATCTCCTCTCCCTCTCGCTTTCCTCTTCCCCCCCTGCATCTCCTCTCCCCTCGCTTTCCTCTTCCCGGCTGCATCTCCTCTCCCCTCGCTTTCCTCTTCCCGGCTGCATCTCCCTCTCCCCCCTCGCTTTCCTCTTCCCGGCTGCATCTCCTCTCCCCTTCGCTTTCCTCTTCCCGGCTGCATCTCCTCTCCCTCCCTTTCCTCTTCCCCCGGCCCTTCGCTTCCTCTCCCTTCGCTTTCCTCTCCCTTCCCCCGCTTTCCTCTCCCTTCGCTTTCCTCTCCCTTCGCTTTCCTCTCCCTTCGCTTTCCTCTCCCTTCGCTTTCCTCTCCCTTTCGCTTTCCTCTCCCTTCGCTTTCCTCCTCCCCCCTCCCTTTCCCCTCCCCCTCGCTTTCCTCTCCCCTCCCTTCTCCTTTCCTCTCCCTCCCCGCTTTTCCTCTCCCCTCCCCTCGCTTTCCTCCCCCCCCCTCGCTTTCCCCTCTCCCCTCCCCCCGCTTTCCTCTCCCCTCCCCTCGCTTTCCCCTCTCCCCTCCCCTCGCTTTCCCTCCCCTCCCCTCTCGCTTTCCCCTCCCCCCTCCCCTCGCTTTCCTCCCTCCTCCCCTCGCTTTCCCCTCCCCTCGCCCCCCCCCCCCTCGCTTCCTCCCCCCGCCCCCCTCCCCTCCCTTTCCCCCCTCCCCTCCCCTCCCTTTCCCCTCCCCTCCCCTCGCTTTCCCCCCCCTCCCCCTCCCTCCCCCCTCCCCTCCCCTTTCCCCCTCGCTTTCCCCCCCCTCCCCCCCCCTCCTTTCCCTTTCCCCTCCCCCCCCTCCCTTTCCCCTCCCCCCTCCCTTTCCCCTCCCCTTCCCCTCCCCTCCCCCCCTCCCCCCTCGCTTTCCCCTCCCCTCCCCCTCGCTTTCCCCTCCCCTCCCTCGCTTTCCCCTCCCCTCCCCTCGCTTTCCCCTCCCCTCGCTTTCCCCTCCCCTCTCCCCTCGCTTTCCCCCTCCCCTCGCTTTCCCCTCCCCTCCCCTCCGCTTTCCCCCCCCCTCCCCTCGCTCCCCTCCCCTCGCTTTCCCCCCCCTCCCCTCGCTTTCCCCCCCTCCCCTCGCTTTCCCCTCCCTCCCCTCCTTTCCCCTCCCCTCGCTTTCCCTCTCCCCTCCCCCTCCCCCTCGCTTTCCCCTCCCCTCCCCTCGCTTCCCCTTCTCCCCCTCCCCTCTTTCCCCTTCCCGGCTGCGTCTCCTCTCCCCTCGCTTTCCTCTTCCCCGGCTGCGTCTCCTCTCCCCTCGCTTTCCTCTCCCCGGCTGCGTCTCCTCTCCCCTCGCTTTCCTCTCCCCGCTTTCCTCTCCCCCCCGCTTTCCCTCCCCGGCTGCGTCTCCTCTCCCCTCGCTTTCCTCTCCCCTCGCTTTCCTCTTCCCGGCTGCGTCTCCTCTCCCCTCGCTTTCCTCTCCCCCCTCGCTGCGTTCCTCTCCCCTCGCTTTCCTCTTCCCGGCTGCGTCTCCTCTCCCCTCGCTTTCCTCTTCCCGGCTGCGTCTCCTCCCTCGCTTTCCTCTTCCCGGCTGCGTCTCCTCTCCCCTCGCTTTCCTCTTCCCGGCTGCGTCTCCTCTCCCCTCGCTTTCCTCTTCCCGGCTGCGTCTCCTCTCCCCTCGCTTTCCTCTTCCCGGCTGCGTCTCCTCTCCCCTCGCTTTCCTCTTCACACAGGGACCTGAGCAGCAGCAGGAGTCATTGGCTCTTGCTGCTATCAATCAAGTGTGCTGAAGAAGAAGTGAAGGTGGTGGGGCTTAGTCCGTGTCTGTCTGTGTCTATGGAGCAAAGCTTCGTACACACCCAGGTCAGGAGCGAGCACACAGCGTTTGTCCCCATAGCAAATCGCTTGCTATGGGGACACACAAAGAAGGGTAGGAGCCAGGATCTCCGGCGGGGGACCTGAGAAGAGAAGGATCGGAATTGCTCTGTGCCACACCACTGCACAGAGCAGGTGAATATAACATGTATGTTTTAATTTAAAAAAAAATGTCTGCCTTTAGTAACATTTTATTCTATTTCCTAAAATATTGTCTGCCTTTTCAATAATTGGGCCTTTTGATCATTATATACATCTACACACATTTGCAGGCTCATTGAGTGGTGTCAGTGGTCAAATATTATTCCTGAGGAAGGTGAACATTCTGTTACTTTCTTTTTACATCAGGTTTGTGGATTGCAAAGAATGTGGCAGAAAGATGCATCAGATCTGCGTCCTTCATTATGATATCATTTGGCCATCTGGGTAAGTTCAATCCTTCTAAACATGCAGTTAGACTGTGAGTTATGTGATCTGTACACCAGCTACAGGGCTGTGGCCCATGAACAGGCAGTCGGCAGGCAGAGTAAACCTAAAGATCCAGGTATAGTAATGTATGATCTGCACAAAGCCCCTCTTCTTGCTTAATTATTTTGCAACAGAATAGCAAAAAGGATTTCAAACATAAAATAAAAACTATTCACTTCTTCTTTTCTCACATAGATTTGTCTGTGATAACTGTTTAAAGAAAACTGGACGGACTCGTAAAGAAAATAAATTCTGTGCAAAGAGTGAGTAACATTTTGTTTTTCTTTTTTGGGGGGGGGGGGGGGGTGTTTTGTTTGTTTTTTTGTACATCTTTACAAATCTGTAACCCTGAGAATAAAAGTCTGATTTTTGCTTTGCTTACTGAAATTTACCACACATGTGTTTTTGGCTGCATTTCTTTGGTCTTTATTTGTGTTTTTCCTTTGTTTTCGTCAATCTTACATTAATCGTTTTCTTCAGGGCTTCAAACGACCCGACTAGGAAATCACCTTGAGGATCGCGTGAACAAATTCCTAAGGCGGCAGAACCACCCAGAGTCTGGAGAGGTGTCAGTCAGGGTGGTAGCCAGTTCTGATAAGACGGTGGAAGTCAAGCCTGGCATGAAATCCAGGTATGCATTACCAAGGAATTTATTTTGCATGTTGCCATCAAACATTGAGCAGGATTTCTAACCTTTGCAAAGTGAGAATTTTCCAGATATGCATGACAATTTTTTCATTTTTTTTTTTTTTTTTTTGGCCACTCTTCCCTTTTTCTATGTACATGCTTCTGGAGTTCTTGTCTTGATAGTCAACTTGATAGCTTCTTGATCTTGGTTCTAATTCTAATCTTCTCGCAGGTTTGTGGACACGGGCGAGATGCCAGAATCCTTCCCGTACCGCACTAAGGCACTTTTTGCCTTTGAGGAGATTGATGGAGTGGATGTGTGCTTCTTTGGCATGCATGTTCAGGAATATGGATCAGATTGTCCTCTTCCCAATACCAGGTGACCACACTTTTTCTGTAATAATGGCCCATAATACTGCCAATCTCAATGCCCTACAACTTTCTGGATCTTTGTTCTCTTTATTACTACCAAATCGCAAAATAATTTGCATCCCTATGTATATGCCTTTTTAAAACCTGAATCTGTGTCTTTCTGCAGACGTGTGTACATCTCATATCTGGACAGTATTCACTTCTTCCGACCGCGAAGCCTCCGTACAGCAGTCTACCATGAGATTCTCATCGGGTATTTGGAATATGTGAAGAAACTCGGGTAAATCTCTGTTCCTCTATCTTTGAACCACTTCCAGACCGGACACTTTTACCCCCTTCCTGACCAGGGCAATTTTCAGCTTTCAGCGCTATCACACTTTGAATGACAATTGTGCAGTCATGCAACACTGTACCCAAATTAATTTTTTACCATTTATTTGAGACAGATAAAGCTTTATTTTGGTGGTATTTATTCACCGCTGGGATTTTTATTTTTTTTGCTATGTAAATGAAAAAGTCCAAAAATTTTGAACAAAAGTGTTTTTTTTTTTTTTATAAAATTTTGCAAATAAATAATATTTCATCATAAATCTTTGCCAAAATTTATTCCGTTATCTTTTTAGTAAAATTTAAAAAAAAAAAAAATTAGTTTATAACCAAAAATTATAATTTTTAAACATTTTTTTTTACATTTTTATTTTATTTTTTTATATTATTTTTTATTTATTTATTTTTTTTTTTTACATACTATCACCCTAGCAGTACAGTGTCACCATGGTGGGGGGGGGGTGACGAAGATTTTTTTTTTTTTTTTTTTTTTACACTGATTGCTTTTACACCCATATAGGATGTAAAAGCAATCATTTCTCTTTCTCTCTGTGTGCATTCCTGCACTCATTGAGAAGTACTGAGTGAGCTGTGATTGGTCACAGCTTGTCACATGGTACAAGGCTGTTGTGAATAGCCTTGTACCATGTGACCTCTGTGATCATTCACAGATTTCACACATAGTAAGCAATGATGTCACAAGTGACATCTTGCTTACTACTTTGCATGTGATCACTGATTGGCCAATCAGTGATCACATGATCGGGACCTCGTACAGAGGTCCCGTCCGACGATCGGTGTTTCACTGTGTCCGGAGGACACAGCGGGCACCGGATCGCGGTGCTGCTGCACGCTCCCAGGGAGCGCGCACAAGCAGGGTGCGGGGAGGCCGTTCATAAACGGCTACCCGACCCTGCACTGCCACCATCCGGCCGTTTATATGCAACCGCCGGTCGGGAAGTGGTTTAAAAAAGGTTTGTTTAGAAATTAAAGGACCCAATGGATAAAGTCATTTATGTAAAGTGTGATAAGTATCTGAGCATGTACACATGTATTACTTAAGGGATGCACTTTATGTAGATCTATAACTTTTTTCATTTTTAAAAATCTTTGTCCATTCAGCTATGTGACAGGGCACATTTGGGCCTGCCCACCAAGTGAAGGGGATGACTACATCTTTCACTGCCACCCACCTGATCAGAAGATTCCCAAACCCAAGCGTTTACAGGAGTGGTACAAGAAGATGCTGGACAAAGCTTTTGCAGAGCGCATCATCCATGACTACAAAGTATGTAAAAGCTGTTTTTAGGTGTATGTCTGGACAAAAAAATACACATAAAGTAACCTCTCTCCAATGCATGCACATTTCTCCATGTTTTTTATTCCTTTTAAAAAGTCGACATACAGAATAATGCCTAAAAATCCTGCAAGAAGCGCATTTATCTCCCAATTCCCTGTTGGCAATAATTCCCCTGCTGCACCTAAACACAAAGCAGCTTTATCATTTGCATCTGAGATCTCCTCTGCTGGACTGCAGAACTCCACCTCTCTGCATGTCCCTGACCATATCTACGTGTGCTACTTCTTTCCCAGCAAAAAAAAAAAAACTGTTGCCCTTGATCCCAAAAGTCTGCTTGCACTATGTGTGGGGGAAACAGCTCTTCAGAGATGTAGCCTGGTGATATCTTGTAAGTAATCTCTCATTGCAACAATAATTGAAAAGAAATTAATAATGCTAGGATGTGCAATTAAAGGAGGGGGGGGGGGTAAATTAGGGTCATGCCTATTTAGTTGAAGTGGTATTAAAGGCATTTAAAAAAAAAAACAAACAAACAAAAAAAAAAAAAAATCAAACAAAACCACTGCTCGGAGCAGCCCCGATCCTCATCACCAATGCTCCTGCCAAATGCCCCCAAGAAGCCGCCTGCTATTGGGATACCCGAGCTGCTGCTCTGCCTGTCCATTCACACACACAGCCACAGCTTGGCCCTGCTCCCTCCCTTTTCATAGGCCCCCTGGCTATGATTGACATCAGCAGGAGCCAATGAGGAGGGAGAATCACTGGAGGGCTGAGGCTCTCGTTCACATCACTAGATTGCGATGCAGCTCAGAAAAATATTATCGGGCCAGGCACACAGATTTTTTTACCTTCATGAACAGAATGCATGAAGGCAACAAACAACCTTAAGCCTTTACATCCACTTTAAAAACATTGAATTGGTAAATAAACCAATCATATCTGACTAACACTTTGTCTCCTGTGCAGGACATATTTAAACAAGCGACTGAGGACAGATTAACTAGTGCCAAGGAGCTTCCATATTTTGAAGGTGACTTTTGGCCTAATGTGCTGGAGGAAAGTATCAAGGAGCTGGAACAGGAGGAAGAGGAGAGGAAAAAGGAAGAGAACACGGCAGCTTGCGAGCGAGACCCCCGAGGTGAGTTTGCATATTATTTGATATCATCATTTTCAAATAATTTTTTAAGGGACACAGACATTTTTCATTTCAGAGGAGACATCCTGGTTACTTCCTTTTGGAACACGCAAAAATGACTGTATTTTGACTTGTTTGTAGGGCTGCCAAGGTGACAGCAAGAACGCCAAAAAGAAAAACAACAAGAAGACCAACAAGAATAAGAGCAGCATGAGCCGGGCCAACAAGAAGAAAACGAGCATGCCCAATGTGTGTAATGATCTGAGCCAAAAACTGTATGCCACTATGGAGAAACATAAAGAGGTAAGGAAATGCTAGCAGCAATCTAAAGCAGACATGTCCAGCAGGTGTTTTTTGTTTCGACACCATTGAACCTTTAGGTATATGCCCAACCCATAGGAGATTGAACAAGTAAAAGATGGCTGTGCTACATGGGGAAATGCCCCTTTTTCTGAGTAATAGTTTCTTAGTCTAAGCTTAGACTTTAACAATAATACACCGTGATCCTTACTAAAATATGCAAACCCTAAACGCACATAACACTTTTCACCCCAAAAAGTGTATAAATCATATATAAAATATGCTAACAAATATGAGTAAACAACTCAAATTGCAAAATTAGATAAAAGATAAAAATATAATATAATCAAATTCTTGAAAATAGTCTTTCAAAAAAAGTCCACAAAAACCTTCCAGCAAGGAGATGCTTCCAAAGCGATTCCTGAGATCAGACCAGAGCGTGAATATAAATCAGCATGTAATCATTCAAATGAAGAAACAGCCTGATAGGCTCAGCCAATGACTCAATACTCCTCCGTCCACATTAAACTTCACTAGATAATGGGGCTAGATAATGATTCACTCCATGATAAGCTCAACCAATGAATTAATGTTCCTTTTGTATGCATAAACTCTGAACCATGTCACCATATGAAACTAGGCAATGATTCAGTCCATGTGAAGCCAAAATATCTTTATTAAACATTAAAGGTGGATTACCATCATATATAAAAAGTAGTAGTATAATAATAATCAGCCAGACCCTCTGCGGACCCTCAGGAGTGCTCCTTCTGTGTAACTGAATGAGAATTCCAGGATCCAAGATGGTCGTCCGGTAACTTCCAGCTTTGCTGTGCGTCTTGACGTCACTTCCCTTTGACGTGTTTCGTCACTTGACTTAATCATAAAGGGTCTTTTTTTTTTTTTTTTTTTTTTTTTTTTTTTTTGAAAGACTACTATTTTCAAGGATTTGATTATATTATGTTTTATATTTTTTTTCTTTTTTTCTAATTTTTTTTTTTGAGTTGTTTACTCATATTTGTTAGCATTTTTTGTATATGATAAGCTTAGACTTTAATAGACACCGGACACATGCAGGCCTAAACATTTCTGTGTTTGCATTTTTTTTTTTTTTTTATTCTTTTAATTCCTAAAGCATGATGTTTTAACTCCATACAGCTTTTGTCTGAATAAAATTTATTACAGTTCTCATTTTAACAGGATCACAAATGTGCCACGGGCCTTAAGAAGATCTGCGTATTGTAATGGTGGGGGGAGACCCAAGTGTGGCTTCTGTTTTCTTAGATATGGTCAAGGTCTAAAATTTATCAGTTTAAAAATAAAAATTATATAAGAAAACAGGATATGCTTATTGCTAATTTTTTCACATGTCGTAGATTGTAAGCTCAAAAGTGCAGGGCCCTCGAACCCCTCATGTATTGTTTTTTTACTGTATTGTCTCATGTTCTGTTCCCCACTATATTGTACAGCGCTGAGCAAACCCTTTGGCGCTATATAAATACTGTATAATAATAATGTATTAGAAGTTTGTATTGTTCCTATCTCTTATTTATTTAATTTTTCTCCTGTAGGTGTTTTTTTTGTGATCCATCTCTATGCGGGCCCAGTGATCAACTCCCTCCCACCTATTGTGGATCCAGACCCTATGCTGAGCTGTGATTTGATGGATGGACGTGATGCATTCCTTACTCTTGCCCGGGATAAGCACTGGGAGTTCTCCTCATTGCGTCGCTCCAAATGGTCCACTCTCTGCATGCTGGTGGAACTGCACACACAAGGCCAAGACCGGTTTTTCTACACCTGCAATGAATGCAAGCACCATGTGGAGACTCGCTGGCATTGTACTGTCTGCGAGGTGAGTGTGCCTAAATCAGGGGTGTCAAACTCTTTCATCGCAGGCCGTATCGGCATTATGGTTGCCCTCAAAGGGCCGATTGTATCTGTAAGACTAGATGGCCAGAGCACCCGACCCCCCATTACATCAGATGTCCGGAATCCCACACCCTCCCTAACATCACCATGCACCCCCTTTGGGGGCAGAGCTAGAAAAGCAGAAAGTGCAGGGTCTGCAGGAGGACCAGAGGAGGAGTGGAGTCAGTTACCAGAGTCTGCTGAATGCTGAGACCAGGGGAGGCAGAGATGAGGGGGTGCTGCAGCTGCACTGAGAGGTGCAGGATTTGGCAGAGGAGTTCTATTCTCCTCTCTGCTGCCAACTACTGAGACAAGGTGGGAGCGGAGACAAGGGGGGTACCTGCAGGAGAGGTGCAAGGGCCACATGAAATGGCCTGGAGGGGCTGGATTCGGCCCGCGGGCTTTGTGTTTTGACACCTGTAACCTAAATGTTTCACTTTTTACCAAAGGGATTGTACTGTGTGTGCAAATTTACAATTACTCTAGCGGAGCTTAAGAGTCAGCATTATTTCAATCCATATTTGTTTACAAAGTTCTCCAAACAGATCAGTTATGTTATATTTTATAGGATGATCCCGGAAGAGAGAAAACATTTTTTTTTTTTTTTTTTTTTTTTCGAGAAAAGTAAACCATGTAGAGGGTATTACATGAGCTGCTATAGAATGTAATTACAAGCAGCCTGTTCATTCTGAATATTGTTTTACTGCAGTGTTTTTATACTTAAGTCATGCTGCTTTTTTTTTTGTGTCTCTAGTGTTCTAATAATATTTCCTTGTTTTTTTTTTTTTATGATCTGTGTGTGAACTGCTACAACACCAAGAGCCATGAGCACAAGATGGTGAAGTGGGGTCTTGGACTGGACGACGAGAACAACAGTCAAGGAGAAGCACAGTCCAAGAGCCCTCAGGAATCCCGCCGGCTGAGCATCCAGCGCTGCATCCAGTCACTGGTCCATGCCTGCCAGTGCCGAAATGCCAACTGCTCGCTGCCTTTTTTGCCAGAAGATGAAAAGGGTTGTGCAGCATACAAAAGGATGCAAGCGCAAGACCAATGGAGGCTGTCCAGTTTTTTTTTTTTTTATTGCATTATGCTGTTACCATGCCAAGCACTGCCAGGAGAACAAGTGCCCAGTACCGTTCTGTCTCAACATCAAACAGAAGTTGCGGCAGCAGCAGATCCAGCATCGGCTGCAGCAGGCCCAGCTGATGAGGCGGCGTATGGCCACTATGAACACGCGTACAGTTCCGCAACAGCCTCTGCCTTCCCCTACCCCTGCCACTCCTGGCACACCTACACAGCAACCCAGCACCCCACAGACTCCGCAGCCTGCTCCACAACCTTCTCCGGGTGGCATGGCCTCACCAGGCTTCCCCAGTGTGGCTAGGACTCAACCTCCCAACGTGGCATCACAGGGAAAGCCAGCAAGTTCGCTTCCTGTGGTCCCTCCTGCTCAGCCTACACAACCCCCACCGGCTGCTGTTGCAGCTGCCCGTCAGATAGAGCTGGAGGCACAGCAACAACAACTCTATCGGGTTAACATCGAGGGAATGACTAGCGTGCGTCCAGGCATGGTGAATCCAACAGTGGGACCTGTGAATCCATTACCGCAAATGAGTATGAATGTGCCACGTCCAGGTCCAATCGCTCCTCCTCCTATCATGCAAGGCATGCAGCCGGGACAGTGGTCCACAGCCCCAATGCCTCAGCAGAGTTCAATGCAGCAGAATATCCAACGTCCAGTAATTCAAATGGCTGCAGCCCAGCAGGCTGTGGCCGGACCTAGATTGCAAGGAGTTCCCCAGCAGCAGGCTCGCAACATATCACCCAATGCTCTCCAAGACCTCCTGCGAACCTTGAAGTCTCCCAGCTCTCCTCAGCAGCAGCAACAGGTGCTCAACATCCTAAAGTCGAACCCTCAGTTAATGGCTGCTTTTATAAAGCAAAGAACTGCTAAATATGTGGCCAACCAGCCTGGAATGCAGCCACAGCAAGCACCCCAGCAGCCTCCTCAGCAGCCTGGTATGCATCCTCAGCCTGGCCTGCAGAGTATGAACCCCATGCAGGTTGGGGTGCAAAGGCCTAATGTTCCTCAGCAACAGCCAGGAATGAGCCCACAGAGCCAAGGCATCAACCTCATGAATTCAGCTCACAATACCAGCTTAGCCCACAACCCACAATATCGAGAGATGCTACGACGGCAAATATTGCAGCAACAGCAGCAGCAGCAGCAACAACAGCAACAGCAAGGCACTGCAGTTTTGGCAGGCGGTATGCCAGCCCACGGGCAGTTTCAGCAGCCGCCAGCAGGATACACACAGTCACAGGCTTTGCAGCAGCAGCGAATGCAACAGCACCTTCCCATACCAAGTGCAGCAATGGGACAAATGCAGCAGATGGGGCAGCCAGGACTAGGCACCGATGGAGCACCACCAAGCATCCAGCAAGCATTACGACTTCAACAACAGCTCAAGCAGCAGATGGCTTCTTCTGGGCAGCCTAACCCTATGAGTCCTCAGCAACACCTTTTGACAGGCCAGCCGCCTTCTACGCATCTTCCCCCAGGCCAACAAATTGCAACCTCCCTAAGCAACCAGGTGCGCTCACCTGCCCCCGTCCAGTCTCCCCGCCCTCAGTCACAACCTCCACATTCCAGTCCTTCACCCCGAGTACAGCCTCAGCCTTCTCCTCACCATGTCTCTCCACAGACAGGATCGCCTCACCCAGGCTTGGCAGCTTCTATGGGCACCTCTTTAGACCAGGGTCACCTGGGAAACCCTGATCAGAGCGCCATGCTTCCACAGCTCAACCCTCCCAACCGTGGCGCCCTCACAAATGACTTGTCTCTTGTGGGAGATACTTCAGGGGACACCTTGGAAAAATTTGTTGAGGGATTGTAGCATCCACCGAACCGGCAGTGAACTGGAGAACTGCAGTGGTGGAGGGAAAGGGGTCCTCTTTAACTCCATCTGCCCCCCCTGCCCCTTTTGTTATATATAAATATAAATATATAAATATCTATCCCTCCCATTCCTTCCACCTTACCATGGACATTTATTTTAATATTTACTTTGTTTGCGTACTCATTGCTGGTCTGCACATCAGGGACACAGGGCCTCAGTCTGGACTGAGACCGCCACCCATTTGCCAGATTCAAACCCTACACTGTCGGAGAGGATGGCATAGCGCTGCTGAGCATCGCCTTCACCCTTCTCTAGCATTGTCAGTGGCTGCTCTGACGTTCAATGCGTTTGGACATATTTTTGTGTTTTTCTTTTTTTTTTTTTTTTTTTTTTTTTTTTTGGGTTTTTTTTTTTCTTTTTTCCCTTTCCAAGCTGACCAGGCGGCCAAATTTAGTCACCTCCCTCCCCTTGGGCTGTTAAATTATTGCTCGGCCTCACAAAACACAGCAGGCCAACCTTGTTAAGAGGCTTTTTTTTTTTTCTTCTGTGCTCACTCCGTGAGGACCGCTGCTTCCTTCTCTGGCAGACTGGTGCAGTTTTGCGTCTGACAGGGAAGGGGTGAACTCATCCATACGCTAATGTGTGTAGTTTTTTTTTTTTTTTTTTTTTTTTTTTTTTTCATCATCTGCAAGGACTGTCTTACCGGGTATTTTTTTTTTTTTTTTTTTCTTTTTTTTTTTTTTTTTCCTGCAGCTGCAGAGCCTAAAACAAAAACTAGGGGAGGGGGTTTGGGGTCATTTTTACCACTTGTAACTACATCATCCTCTTCAAACCCAAGAGAGGAGGCATTTCCATAAGACGTTTGTAAAGACAGATGGTTTCGGGGGGGGAAGGATGCTGTATAGAAACCGTCATCCTCATGGTTATATATATTTTTTTTTTTTTTTCTCCTTTATATAAAAAAATGAATAAAAATCCCAGGCAGCAAGAAAGCTCTTCCACCAAATCTTCCCACCAGACAGATCCCTCGTTGTACAGAGAATTTTCACAGAAGCCAGAGGGAGAAGCCGTGCAATTTGAATTTTGCCATCTTGTTGAAATATCCCGCCCTCCCCCCACCCCTTTATTTTATTTGTATTTTCTAATGGTCGGGGGCGTGAAAACTGAAACAAAAAAAGGCTCCCGCCAAACGTTGGAACTGCTTATAAAAAGAAAAAAAACTACAGAAGCAAAATTTTTTTTTTTTTGAAATACAAGCAATCAAAAGTGTAAATCATGCCGGTTGTTACCCCCCCCCCCCCACCCCCAACATATAAATAAGAGGCACCGAGGGGAGAGAAAACCCG